AAATTCCCTCTGAGTTTGGATGGAGCATCAATCTCCAGCAGTTTTTTCCTCAATAATTGGTGACCTGTCAGGACCCCAAACATTCCTCTGACTGCCCTGGATGACTCAAGACCCTGGCAAAGGGTTCAGAGACCTTGGCATGGAGTCACAAACACCTGTGCCTTTGATTTTAGCCCATGGAAACAATTACCAACTTTGTGTGAGGATGTACAAGCCACAAGAGTTTGAGTAGAGTGATAGTTGATTTGTCACAGGGTGAAAAAGTAGAATTTTGGGGTTTTAGAATGGGGGTTCAAGAGGCAATATGGAAGAATCTGAGCATGTCCTGTCCTTCTTTTTCTCCTTCTTGTCCTCTGTCTTCTGCTGAGATGGTGACACTTTTGGATTGGTTTAGTCTCAGGATCTTTTGCTGGTCACTGCGACCCCAAGAGATGTTAAAAGTCTCTTTTCTCAGCCCAGCACTTGAAGAAGGAGTTGGAGCTCTTCAGTTTTTGGTCTCAAGGTTGTTTATTGTATCTTATCTATAAAAAATTGTCTCCTGCCCTGCCCAGGTCCATCCAGCAGGACAGTTCCAGGCACTCTGCCTGCCCCCAGGGCAGTGTTATGTCTTTATACTAAAAACTACATTTACAATGTTTACAATTGCTTTCCAATGCCTATCACCTATGTTAGACAGTGAGCTTCTACTCTAAACCAATCTAAAAGTGCCACCATCACAGCAGAAGATGGAGGCCAAGAAGAAGAAGCAAAAAGGCTGGACATGCCAAGTTCCCTCCATCTTGCCTTCTGAACCCCCATACCAAAAACCCCAAATCTACTTTTTCTGCCCCATAATAACTTCACTATTATTCTACCTAAACTGTTGTGGTTTGCTGATCTTCATCTAAGGTTGGCAACTTGCTCCATGGGTCATAATCAAAACCACAGAGGCATCTTGGGCTCTGTACCAGGATCTCTGAGCCCCCTGGCAGGGGTCTTGGCCATTCTGGACAGCCAGAGGGATGTCCTGGGTTCCCACAGTTTAGAGTGGGGACAGAGTGTCTAACATAGGTGATAGGTATTGGGAAATTATTGTAAATAAATACATGTAGTTATGAGTACAAAAAGCCAACACCACCCAAGGGTGTTGAGTATGCCACAACCCAACCTGCTGGACAGATCTCAGCAGGTCAGAGACAGATAAGAGAAAATAAACAACCTTGATAAGCAGAACTGACAAATCTCAACTTCTTTGGTCGTGGGCCTGGGAGAAAAAGGACTTTCCAACACCTAAGGAGTCATCACAGGCACAGGATCCTGACAGTGACCCAGCAGCTGCTGCCAGCTCTGAGCTGGGACAGCCCCTCAGGCCATGCCTGTGCAGCTGTGCCAGGACAGCACCCACCCTGCCCCTCTGGGATCTGTCCCTGGAGTGAGGGATGTGCTGTGTCCAGCAGAGGACTGGACAGAGCTGAAGGATTTACTAAAAGGCCTCAATGGATACACCTTAAGCACCCAAGATGAACAAAAATGGTCACAAAATGCACGATCAGTCATAAGGTCTCTCACTTTTATCAGTTCTGCTCCATTTGCATATTGGAGTTCATTGCCTGGTTACAGCTTTAGCCCATGCAGTCCCGTCGGTCTTGTTTTTCTCTCTTCAGTCCATGTTGTTTCTTCTCTTGGGCCTGAGATTGGACCCTCAGTGACCTCTGTGGGTCTGGGTAGGGCCACGAGCCCCCAGCTGGCCCTGCTGTGACCTGTGGGAGGCCAGGCTGGCCCTTTGGTGGCCCCAGGCTGGCCCTTGGTGGCCCCAGGCTGGCCCTTGGTGGCCCCGGTCCGGCCCCAAAGGCAGCACCCAAGCCTGGCTCATCCAGAGCCCTCAGATCCCTCTGGGAGCTGCAGGTTGGAGGTGCAGGAGGTGCTGGAGCCCCAGCTGAGGGAAAACATGGCACAAATCCCAGGGCTGAGTAGCTCCAGCAGAAAGCAGCTCTGATCCTGGACAGGAGCTTTGCTTTGGAAGAGCAGCAAAGAAATTAATTAGAAGGATGTGCCAGCAGTCAAACACAGCAACCCTGTCAGCTTTTCCCACACATTTCCCTTCCTAAAGGTGTTTCCAGGGGCTAAAATGTGGAATTAAGCTGGCTGCAAGGCTGGGGTGCTGTTTCCAAGGCTCTGTCTCTGCAGCTCTGCAGAGCCAACCTGTCTTTGAGCTGCTGGAGCTGAGCAGATGAGAGAAGTGCTGCTGCCGCGCTCTCTGGAGCTTCACGGGTCCTGCATGGGTGGCAGACAGCAGAAGGCAGCGTTTGTTGAGCAGTCAGGAGAAGAGAAATGACTCCATGATGGCCCCTGATTTGTCCTCTGTGGCCATCCCAGCGTTTCCAAGGCTCCCGAGCGAGGAGCAGAGGGATGGGAGTGGGGATGTGCATGGAAAAGCTGCCTGGAGATTCTGGGGTGCTCTGAGCTCCCTCTGTGGGGCTGGAGGGCACCTGGGCACTCGTGGACAGGGGACAAAGAGCCCATTACTCATGGTGGCCCCCAGAATAATGAGACAGAACACTGGGGGGTGTCCCCAGCATCCCAGGTGCTGACAAACCCCACAGCCTGGGGTGTCCCATGTGGCTGCAGGCTTGGAATGTGCCCAAGGGTGAGAGGGAACAGCCTCAGGCTGGGCCAGGGCAGGCCCAGGGTGGGCACAGCAGGAATTTCCCCATGGAAAAGGGGCTCAGGGATTGGGAGGAGTTGCCCAGAGGGGTTTGGAGTCCCCATCCTTGGAGGTGCCCAGGAAGGGCTGGAGGTGGCACTGAGTGCTCTGGGCTGGGGACAAGGTGGGGTCTTGATGATCCTGGAAATGTTTTCCAGCCTCAGTGATCCTGGATCCTGTGACTCTCCAAGGGATATCAGTGATCAGATAAAGTGGCCAAGCTCAGCCCCCTCTGTTTGGGGCTGGGGATGGGCAGGGGGAGGCAGCAGCACCTCCCAACCCTCACTGGAGCTGCTGCTGAGCTGAGCTGGGGATTTGACTCCTCCCTCACCTTTTCCATCCTGCCTTGCCACGAAATGGATGGAGAAGCAGCTCCTGAGCTGCCTCCAGCAGAACAGAGCAGCTCCTGAAGTGCTGCTGGAATTCCAGCTGGATTCCCTGCTCCCATCCCTGTGCATCCATGGAGTGAAACCCTTCCCTGCAATCCCTGCCCCTGGCTCCTGCTCCAGAGTGTCCCATTCCAGGGGTAGCACTGGGGACAGTGGCAGAGCACACACACCCTGCAGCAGGGACAGACAGGGGAGCAGCACCTGCACGGGGTGGGATACAGGAACAGGGCTGGCATGGCTGAAGTATCCAGGGATCCTATCCACGGTGCTAAAAAGTTCTGGGGTCATGGGAATCCTTCACAAGGACACTTTCCTCTGCCAAAACATTGTCACCTGTCAATGTGACCAGGGGGCAGCCGGCACTTCCTGAGCAGTACTGGCACAGCAGGGTCATTTCCCATTTTCTGCTGTGCTGCTGAGCATCCTCCTGCTCCTCCCCACCATTTCTGCCCAGAATGGTGCCATTTATCCTCCTCTGAGGGCTTCCACACCCAGGTGTTCAGAGCTGATGGTGCCTTTGCTGCAGCATTGCTGAGAAAAGCTCTGAGCAGGGTCGTGCTGGGCTCCAGAGCTGGATCAGAGTTTGCAGGGTGGGCCAGGCCAAGAGCAGGCAACCATCACCACCCGCCTGAGCCTCTGCCAGCATTTCCTCCAGGCTCAGCATCCCACAGTGCTCTGATCATCCCTTCTGCAGGGTTTTTTCACTTTAAAGCTTTCCTCTCCTCAGTCTGGGGCTTTGTGAACCTCCCTGGCTGTGCTGGCTAACTCTGTGCTCCCAGCACTGCCTGCCTGGCCCTGCTTGCTGGGTGGATTAATGCCGGGCTGAATTTGGGAACTGGGACACTCCCCTCAGCCAGGAGCTGCTGGATGATCCCTCTGGGGCTTCGTGATGTTCCTGATTCCGACCTGGGAATGTTTTGACTGCAAACAAGCCAGGTGATGTGGATCTGCTTCTTAATCACATCAGACTCCTCAGGTTTCCGAGGCGAGCGCTCGTAAGTTCAAAATTCCTGTCTGAAACACATGCTGCTGCATCTTTGTGTGGAAAACATTCCTGTTGGCAGGCTCTGCAGGAGTGCTTGGAGAGAACAAATATCAAAGTGTGACAAGCAGGGCTGATTACAAATAGCAGGAACATTTGCAGAGCACTGCAGAGCCAGGCCCACGCAGGAGGCTCCTCGGCAGCAGAGCCCGGCTGCTCCCCAGGGATTGTCCAGCTCCTGGAGCTCTGTCCATGAGCTGCTCTCCAAGGCAGGGGAAATCACCTCACAGGGTGGCAGGAAGGGATGAGGCTGAAATATGCACCAGTAAATAGTGGGGGAGCAGAATTTGGGTCTGTCTGCAGCCTCGCAGAGGGATGGGTGTGCAGGAGTGCTGCTGGTGCTGCCTTTGGAAAGCTGGAACAGGTTCAACAACCTTTTCAACAACCTTTTCCCACCTGGGCTGCAGAACCTGCTCCAGGACTGCAATTCCAACCTCAAAACACCACAGTTTGTTCCTACAACAAAACAACCCCACCTTTGGTCGTGTTTTTGGCCACATTTGCTTGCTGAGGTTTGATATCTCTGCACGGAGGGTTTGCATCCACAACAGGGTATTTGTCAGGATCCTGGTCTTCCTTACATCATTCCCAGGATTGTTTTATGGGAATGGTGAGGTAATGCAGAGAATTTCTCCCTGGATGTCAGGGATTCAGTGGTGATGCAGTCCCAGCACCCCAGCCTGCTGGCAGTTCTCAGATAGCAAATAAACGTTCATGGACAATTTTCAGGGTCTGCATTGTGCCATCTGTCAGAGCAGCACTGGGAGGTTTTAATTATGGTTTACACTCTGTCTTCAAGCACCTGGATTCGTTTTTTCCTCCTGTCAATTATTGATGGGGATTTGCTAAAAAGTGCCTTAATTCCACTTTGTGTTCTTCCCTGCAGCAGCTGGGCCAGGAACAGAGACAGGAAGAGGTCAAAGTGTGCAGGACGTGAGGACACTTCTTGCTCAGCCACTTCTCAGTGTGGGAGCCAATTCCATGAGCATTCCCAGGTTTATCTCTGGAATAATTTTCTGAGGGACTTATTTGGGTAAATGATTTGTGAGGGAAAAGGGTTCAGAGCAGCTTCCCAAGGAGGAGGGAGATCTGGATGGGAAATTCTGCACCTGTGTCCCTGTGCTCAGGTGATTTCCCACCTGCAGAGCTGCCCCAGCACAGGCAGGAGCTGGAGCTGCTGGGGCTGGGCCAGAGGAGGCTCCAGGATGATCCCAGGGATGGAGCAGCTCTGCTGGGAGGAAAGGCTGGCACAGCTGCCATTGTTCACCTGCACAGGAGAAGCTTTGGGGGGAGCTCAGGGTGGCCTTGCAGGGCCTGAAGGAACCCCAGGAAAGCTGGAGAGAGACAATTGACAAGGGCTGGAGGGACAGGACACAGGGAATGGCTCCCACTGCCAGAGGCAGGGATGGATGGGATATTGGGAATGAGGAATTGTTCCCTGGGAGGGTGGGCAGGCCCTGGCACAGGGTGCCCAGAGCAGCTGTGGCTGCCCCTGGATCCCTGGCAGTGCCCAAGGCCAGGCTGGACAGGGCTTGGAGCAGCCTGGGACAGTGGGAGGTGTCCCTGCCATGGCAGGGGTGGCACTGGATGGGCTTTAAGGTCCCTTCCAATCCAAACCATTCCAGAGATGCCCCCTGAACTGGTGACTGCTGTCCTCAGGCTGTGCTGGTTGGAGAAGCACAGAAATCTCTTAGTGGGAGTGGCAGGGCTCACACAGAACCTGCTCTCTGCACCTTCCATCAACTCCTCCAACCCCAAAAGGCAGCTCTGGAATGCAGCATTCCATGCCCAGCACCCTGCAAGGCTCTCAGAGTGAAGGAGTGGCCTCCAACACTCCCAGAAAAACCCAATCTCTCTGATTTTCCAAAGCAGCCACTCGGCTCTCTCCAATCAAAGCAAGGCCGTGAAACAATGAGGGCACAGCCCCAAAAGGGGTGGGAGCAGCGAGCTGCCAGCTCTTCCTGCATCCACGAGCCCGCAGTTTCCAGGAGGAATCACTTGCCAATACATATGGTGTTGTGTGGATGGGAAATGTCACGGAACATAACGTCCTGATATGTTTAAAAATAAATCGCTGGGACGGCTGAAAAAATAAATGACTGAAGGGAGGGGATTGTGGTGGCTTCTGCTGGGGATTAATTTTGTTGTGTGGTTTGGGGAGAGCTCAATTCAGGTGTCAAATCTGGTGTTGGTTTGATAAACTGGGGGGTTTGGCTTCGTCTCCAAGGAGTGCTGGGGAACGAGGTCAGTTTCTTAATTAATTTATGCAAATTGCTGCTTCCTTCTCCTCTGTCTGAATGTTAGTGACACCTGTCTTATCTCCTCACAGCTAATTGCAGGCAACAAATGGGGAAGCACGGGCAGGACTTTGGGAACGGCACCAGCAGGAGCGATGGAACTTCCACAGTCAACCCAGAAAGCTGCAAAATGATCATAACAATTATTGATTATGATTGACACATTCTGGAAAGCATTGATCAGAGCCATTCCTGGGCTCCCACCCTGTGTATAGAGCAGGAATATCCTCACAGGAGCCTGGAGCATCAGGATGAGCTCCTGGCTGGATGTCACACCCCAAATCCCTTTCCTGGGCTTCCTCCATGTCCCTCCCTGCTCTGTATGATCCTCCCAAATGCAGAATTTGCCTTCAAAGGGAGCTGGATCCTTAAGGTCCCTCCCAAGCCAAACAATTCCATGGTTGGTGATCCCCAGGGCAGCTTCCCTGAGCCTCCCAGAGTGGTGGGAGCTGCCCCTGCTCACTGGGATTGCACTGGATCCCTTTAAAGGTTCCTCCCAACCAAATCATGCTGGGTTTTTCCATAGAACTGGGCTGTAAATGAATGGATTCTTCACAATAATAATAATTCAAAAACAGTGCAAATTCCTGCCCCAGAGGCGTGGGAATAGGTAAAATGGGCTGGGAAAAGACTGCAGTTATTGAAATGGGAATGGTGCACCCCAAAGTCTCTCCTATCCTTCTCCCCTCCCCTATTTATGGGTTATTTGGGGAAGAGAAAGTCTTCAAGATTCCAAAATATCCTCCCTGCATTCATTTTGTATTAACATTCCCAGTAGATTGATTTGATTTTATTTTTTAAGGAATTTCCCCTGATTTTGATGAAGGCACAAGGAAAAAAACTGAAGCTGGGACAGCAGGAAAAAAATCCCAGCAGAGGGAAGGGAGATGAAGAATGTTGGTGCAGATGCATCAAGGCACCAGCTTGGTCTGAATGCCAATATCTGGGGTTTTCTGATCAATTCATCACCAAGACAGGACAAACTGGACCAGCTCAAGCTGGGGCCATGCAGATATCCCAGGAAAATCCTATCTTTCTGGTGGAGGATGCTCCATAACCAGTCAGCATATGGCAAATTCCTATTTCCAGGATAATTTATCACAAATTCCTTTGGATCTTTTGTTTCATCGGTGAGTGATTAAAAAATACAGGTTTCATTTAATTTTAAAAAATCTATTATTTAGGCCCAAAATTGCAGGGTTCTGCATGAAAAAAAACACATGTCCAGATTTTAAAACAGTTCTAGGTTGCTTGTGTGGGTTTTTGTGGTGGATTTTTCTGAAGAAATCCTGTTTTGTTCAAAACTCCAAAGCCTCCAGCATTATATCCAAGAGGTTCTTCATGTTTTATTCCCTTCTTTTTTTCACATTTTTTTAGGAGAACTATTTGAAAATTTGGCTGGGGTGAAAAAAAGCAGAATCACAGGAGCCCTGCCTGGCATGAAAGTTCCTTTTCCTGGTAAAATCCAGCCTGGATATGATGAAGGCACAACCCCTTGGGGGAGCAGCCTCATCCCAGCAGGAGAGCTGCAGGTGGGACTGGAGGCTGGGCTGTTCCCACTCCTGGGGCACAGCAGGATTCCTGCCTTTCCAGGGCTTTTCATCAGTGCTGGAAATACAGGAAAATATTTTTTCGAGTCCTGCTCCCCCTCCCTTCTCTCCAGCCCTGGGGTTCCCTCCTCTCCCACCCTTCTCCTGCTTCCCCCCAAAGTCCAGCCTGGCTGGGTTCCCCTCCAGCCTCCCTGCCCAGGGCTGCTCTTGGGGCTCCTGAGGAGTTTTTCCAATGGGCACCCACCAAACACAAATTCAAGTGTCCATGTGGGCTGCAGAGGGATGTGGGGGCATGGGGATGGGAATAGGGATGGGGATGCGGGGGGAGGAGGAGGAGGATGGAGATGGAAATTAGGATGAGGAGGAGGAGGATGAGGATGAGGAATGTGGAGAAGGAGAAGGAGAAGGAGAAGGAGAAGGAGAAGGAGAAGGAGAAGGAGAAGGAGAAGGAGAAGGAGAAGGAGAAGGATGGGGGAGGATGGGATGGCAATGGGGATG